ATAGCCCATCTCGGCCAACATCCGTGACCGCTCCTTCTCGTAGTCGTTCATGCCGTTCCAGTCCTGAATGACGACGACGGCTGGGCACTTCATGCTGGCAGTGCAAGCTGAGGCGTTGTAGGCCATGTAGCCCTCACAGGTCGTTGTGTTGCATGTGTAGTTGTGCAGTCCGGTGGTCAACATGTCGTTCTCCGGCCCGCGGCTAGCAGCTGGGAGGCCATCGAACAGCTCCACGAGGAAGTGCTTGGTGCTGTCCCAAGACCTGACGTCCGCACGCTGGTCGTACATGGCTTGCATGGGCACGCTGGCCATCCACTCCGTGAAGCTGTGGTAGACGCCCGAGCCATAGCGAGCGATCTCGTATGTGGCTCCTGCGGACTCGAACTCCTCCTCCAGCATCGCCATGTCCGTCGCAGCATCGTCCTTCACGCCCGAGTGCAGCAAAACCTTGGCGACCATCGAGGTCGTGCTGTTGCCCCGCACCACCCTGGCGTTGGGACTGATGCCGGAGTGATAGCCAACAACGCCCAGCACGCCCTCCATCCCCAAAATGGCCATGTTCACCACACCGGTTCCACCGAAACAGTAGCCAATTACGGCGACTTTCGTCGTGTCAACAAAGTCGTAAGACTTCACCTTGTCAATGGCAGCACTGATTTTGGACATGTACAGGTCCGGATTCCCTCGATGAGCAGAGGAAGCCGCCATCCAGTCGGACATGTCCTCAACAGGCGTCCCATAGCCGTAGATGTCGGCAGCAAAGCCCACATAGCCCATCTCGGCCAACATCCGTGTGCGCTCTTTCTCGTAGTCGTTCATGCCGTTCCAGTCCTGAATGACGACGACTGCTGGGCACTTCATGCTAGCAGTGCATGCAGAAGCTTTGTAGGCCATGTAACCTCCGCATGTGGTGGTGTTGCAAGTGTAGTTCACCATGGAGGCCTCGTGCGTGCAATGGTCATGGTCTCCGTGCCCTGCGCCAAGTGCGCAGAGAAGGCTGGCTGCAGCCAGTACACGGATGCACGCCATGCTTGGGTGTAGCTCACGCCAAGCAAAAGGAAGCGTGGGGGGGTCTGAGGCTCGAAAAGGCAGACAGCAAGTTTCGGAATTCAAGGTCGTCGGATGGAGCATCGGCAATGTCGGAAAAGTGAACTGCGCAAGCATGGTGCTTTGCTCTCTCCGCGACACAGGTTTGGGCAGCAAGAGGCCCGAGCCTCGAAATTTCGGTGGAGCCGCGGCCGTGCTGCTTTGCAGCATGCCACATCTCGAGAGCAGGAAGACTTCCGCTGACTCCAAATCAAACTTGCTCGGAAAACAGCAGACATGGTGACGAATGGCTTGCGTCACGAATTTTTGGAAACGTTTGACGACAACTTCCGAAAAGGTGGCGTGTCGGTCCATCTCAGAGACATCTCACAACCACTGTTCGGAAGTGTCGGCAGCGTTGAAAACCTGAATTGGGGTGCGGCACCGCGCCCATTCTCGCTGCTCGGGTAGCGGGCAGCTGTGGATGCATGATCGCCCTGTCAACCTGAAGGCGGTATTGCGGTTCTTTTTGGAATAAATGTCAGCAACTGCGAATCTGAGGGCATGTGAATGTGGGTGATTGTGGTGCAGTCTGAGTACATGTGAGCGCATATGAGAGTGCCTGACGGTGCGTCAGAGTGTGTACGTGCGTGCATATGTGCATGTGCGTAAACATTGGCTTTCGCCTGCGAGTGCGCGTGTGCGTGCTCCCTAGCTGGCTAGCTGGCTAGGCAGCTGGCTAACAAGTGAAGGAGACAAAGTGCAAAATCACAGTCACTGATTCAGTCAGTGAGAGCAACCTACA